AGCAGCCAGGGCTGCCCTCACAGTGGAGAGCAGCACCAGGCGTCGGGGTGGGAGAGCTTATATAGGCTGTAGGGAAGGCTGACTAATCAGGGAGGGGTTTGGTGCTGGTGTGGAGGAATTCCTATTTCTCAGAAACCACGAGGTTTCTCCTAAGGGAAAGGCTGGCAGCTATTTTGTGCTCAGTGTGTGTAAAATGGCGCTGGTCACGTCCAAGATCCATCAGTTGTAGAAAAGAGAAAGCCACAAAACAGAGAAGGCTCAGCTAGGGAGGGAGGAAAAAGCCACAATGGAGCCAACAGAAATGAGACCATCATTGACCATCAGGATTCTGAATGACTTCTGGCCACCTTCCCCCCCTTAGAGCTTATATTGTGAGACTGTTGGAGTGAGCAGGACTGAAGCCATGTTGGGACCTAAAACCACATCGGCTCTAAAAGATTTTAAAAGAACATGGCTTTTTTCTTGGCATGCATTTCTCTGAGTTCCCCCTTTTCCCATGGGTATCTGATAATTTGAACCTTGGTTATGGGGCAAGATGACGTTATTTACATGAATGTAAAGTTGTTTTCCAGCCAGTCTGAAGCTGCAGACTTGCACGTACTACCCAGACCCTGAGATAACAGCAACGATGGGAGCAGAATCCAGACAGAGTCTTGGCGAGACTTTGCACCTGAGACCTTGCAGGAAGCCCTCGCAGGTCACATCCCCTCCCTCCTGCTTTTCATTTCCCACCTTCCATTCCCTCATCCTCCTCTTTAAAGCCCCCTCAGTAAACCTGAATCTTTGAGATAGGTTTAGTCTGGCCACTCTCTTTCAGGTTTACCGGAGAGGTGAGTTAGCCTAACACGTCTCCTCGGGTCACCAGTGTTCCTGAATAAAAGCCCAGTTCCACTTTTACTGACATTTGTGTTTTGGTTGGTGTGCTTTTGTCTGGGGGCGGGCAGCTGGGCCTGTGAGTTTGGTATCAGTTTGGGGGAGCCTTAGCCAGGAGCTAAGTGTGCCCTGTAACAAGACAGGAGTTGCCAAGACCCCAGGGGAGGCTCACGTTTTTATATTTTAAAAATGATCATGTAGATGGAGACAGCCTTACAACTAATGTATTTAGCCTTTCCTGTGTCATGGATCCTTTTGAAATGCTAGGAAAGCAATGACAGGCTCTTCTTTTTGGATTTTGTGCAGCTTTTGGGAGGTCCTACACCCCAGAAGGCCCTCCCCAGATTTTCAGGCTAAGAATCAGCCCAGTCTTAGAACAGCATGGTCTCACGGGGCAGGTAGCACATACAGGAATGATGCCTCCTTAGATGATTTCTGCAGAAATATGAGCATGGAACCAACTCCTCAGAGTCAGTGCTGAGCGTTCAGTGCTGAGATTGATCTGTCACCCTTCGATGGCTGAGAACATGGCTTCTGGAATCAGCTGTGTGGCCTTCTACAGGGAAGTCACCTTTTCTTTGCCTAAATGCAGTGAATTACATAATAATGCAGAGTGCAATGAAGAGGAGATAACTTGGGTTCAGTTTCTGACTCTGTAGTTTACCTGTGACCTTGGCAGGTGCTTACCATTTCTAAGCCACAGCAGCTAAAGATAGCCCTCTCTTGTCAGCTGGGGCCAGATGTCCAAGAGATAAGGCATTCCAGATTGTGCAACCCGAACCTGACAGGTACAAAGGTTCCTTTCACAATAGGTCACTCACCTTCCTTCCAAAAAGTAAAGTGAGACCCACCTCTCTGCCATTGAGGTGGCTAATATACAAAATAAACAGGCAAACCAAAAACACCAGAAAATGACAAGAACTGTGGGTGGAAACGTACAACGTACCACTGCTATGTAAAACACTATGGCAGTTCCCCAAAATATTAAAAATAGAATTACCATTTCAGCAGTTCCACTTCTGGGTGTAGACCCAAAAGAATTGAAAGCAGGGACTCAAACAGATGTTTCTACACCCATGAGCCGAGCAGCACGATTCAAGGCAGCCAAAAGATAGAAACAACCCAAGTATCCATTGAGAGATGAATGGATCAACACAGTGTGGTCTGTTCATACAATAGAATACGATTCAGCCCTGAAAAAGAAGGAAATTCTGACACATGCTACGACATCGAGGAACCTGGAGGACATTATGCTCAGTGAAATAAGCCAGACACGATAGGACAGATACTGTGTGATCCACTTACAGGAGGTCCGTAGAGTCGTCAAATTTATAGAGACAGAAATAGAACGGTGGGTGCCAGAAGCTGGGGATGGGGATAGGGAATTAGTGCTTAATGGGGACAGAGTGTCAGTTTGGGAAGATGAAAAAGTTCTGCAAATGGATGGTGGTGATGGCTGCACAGCACTGTGAATGTGCTTAACGCTGCTGAACTGTGCGCTTAAAAATGGTGAAGATGCAGATTTTAGGGCTGGCCGGTTAGCTCAGTTGGTTAGAGCACCAGCTTGTAACACCAAGGTCAAGGGTTCAGATCCCCATACAGCTGGTTGTCAAAATAAGAAAAAGGTGCAAATTTTATGTAATGTATAGTTTACTACAATTAAATATTGAAATATACTTTAAAAAAGGCAAGAAAATGGTGGTGGTGGTGGGGATGGGGGTCTTACATGAGATAACAAAGAAAGTGACAAAATGGTCCTGGCAATTGCTCTGGGAGAAACAATTTTTTATTTCCTAAAGGCCCCTTCTTGGCTTACAGACTCTTCTGGGAAACAGACAAGAGCAAGGAAAGGAAATTCCACTTAGAAATATACTCCTTTGGGTAAAATTTCTGGGACTTCCAAAAAAACATCCCACCCATCATCTCCTGGCTGAACAGCCCAGTGGAGGAAAAAAGAGGAAGTCAGGAGAGTGATCAACTACCTTGGGGGAGTGAGGGGACAGGCCAGGGGCTGCGGGGGGCCTGCTGGGACCAAGAATGCTCCGCTTCCTGTCCTGGTGCTGGTGACTCCAGGACGCTCAGTTTGCAAAAGCCATGGGGCTGTATACTTTTGAACAATTTGTGCACGTATCATATGCATTGTATACCTTGATAAAAAAATAAAACAATAAAAAAATTAAAATCGAACATATTAGAAAAGGATTTGGCAGGACCCACTCCAAGCCATCAATCAACAATGGCATTTCTACCAAGTGCAGCTTATGCCACTTTTGAATTTTGAGTTTTGACAACCGGTATATATTATTTTTTCATGAGAAAAAAAATCACTAAAAATCTATTTTTTTCTTTTCTTTGTTTTGGAGGCTGGCTGGTATGGGGATACGAACCCTTTGACGTTAGTGTTAAAACATGGTACTCTAACCAACTGAACCAACCAGCCAGCAAAATCTATTTTTTTCTGAGGTGTTCACAGGGAGTGTCCAATAGAACCTTCTGGGACAGTAGCAATGTTTTGTGACTTCACAGCCTCAAACAGTAGCCACTAGCCATGTGGCTATAGTATCGAACAGTGCTGATCTAGGATAGAGCATAAGGTTTATTGTAATATTCTTAAAACTTTTCTGTAGCTTTGAACATTTTTCAAAATAAGTCCATTTTGAAAGAGAGATCTATATTTTTTTGGCAGCTGGCCGGTATGGGGATCCGAACCCTTGATCTTGGTGTTATAACACCGCGCTCTGAATGGCCGAGCTAACAGGCCGGCTGAGACGTAGCTCTAAAGCTTAACGAGGAGCTTGAGCTTAAAGAAAAGACAGAGACGTCGGCACTATCGGTAGCTTTATTAAATTCATTTACCTTCTAAAAAAAGATTACAAAAAAGAATACTTCATTTAAGTGTAATACTGTCTTTATGGACGTACCGTGGTCGGAAAGTGAAATTAAAGCTCATGAATATACGTGGGAAGAGAAAGGGACAAAAGGCAGGATCGCTGCAGCCCACTGGGTATGGAGAGAGAAGGAACAGCAGAGACAAACGTGGACTTATCTGAGGGGTCACACACTGCTGAGCCACGGAGTAGCTTCTAGAAGCTTAAAAGAAACGCACTCGCTGGCTCTGGGGTTGGACACACGGGCACACAGTGCCTGTACCGCTTCTCAAAGCTGCCCAAAGTAGACGACAGGGGTTGTCCCCAATCAGCTTTGGTTTTCTTTCCCATTTACACACAATCAATCCATCCATCCATCCATCCCTCATGATTGTCTTGTTTGGCCATTAAAACTCTTGTCTTAGGTCCATCCCTTCCATCAAAATCAAAGCAAGCTGCACTCTATCAAGCCAAGAAATCTACTTTTCTAGGAGAGAAGCCAGCACTTTGCTTTATTTAATGAACATGTGAGCTCCTTGGGCTTACTCCGTCCTGCTGAGGTTTGGCTTCCAAAACGCCCTGTAGGCTGAGCTGAGTCCTGGACACGAAAGGGCAGACCACATATTTGGTAGGGAACTGGCTTCCCTATCCTAAGGCACATGTGGAGGCTTGGAACCCTTCTCTTTTTTTTTTTTTTGTCCACCGAGGAAAGAAACAGGAAAGAAAACTAGGTTGAGATTTTGGGGACAAAACAGGCCATAAAGGAAACTGGGAGTATCTCTGGCGTTCCCCATTTCCAGCAGGCTCTGTTCCAGGCAGTTCCGGAAAGTCTCTAGATTGTTAAAAACCAGCAGGCCCTTGTTTGGTTTCGGCAAAGGCCTGTCTCTTTAAGTTCGCGCTGGGAGTCCACCGGGGCAGCCAACTTCTAATCAGGTCCACATGGGGTTTTCAGAGCTCGCCCTGTGTGTTGCCAACAAACCCATGCCCTGTTTCCTTTCCTTTGAGCAGAGAAATTCTGGAGTCCTGGGGACAAAAAGGATGGCCCTGCTACCACAATTCTGGGCTCGGGGACACAGCATCCACTCTGAGAATTGGATTCTTTTTCCTGTGTCTCCAAGTCTGAAGGATCTTCTAGGAAAGTTAACATTTGCCAGGGCCTCTGTGCGGGGAGGGAATGGATTTCTGGGTAATGTCTCATTGTGAAACTCGGTTACAGACAGGTCACAGAGCCTACCGATGTGTCTCAGCTGCAGGGTCCTGGACCCCCACTTGAATGGGGGCGACACTGGCACTGGCAGCGAGAAGGCAGAAGAAAGGACTAAGCTTCTGCTCCTGGTGACAGGGACAGATCAGTTTTGTGAGGCAACCAGAAAATTCCCCCGAGAGCCGTCTGGGGTGGAGTGAACAAAACACTATTATATACCGGACAATTAAATGTGGGGGCTGAAAGGGTGGGGGGCAACGCTTGAGACATGACCCGTGGGTAATAAGATTCAGGATTACAATGCAAAGACGGTATACGGTTCCAGTGACTTTCAAATGTAGCAACAAATAATATGACTCCCCCTCCTGCAACAATGTTTCAAGAATACAGTATTTTTTCCCCTCGCCTTTCTCATCCATAATTGCCGGCTGATTGTTCTCAATGTTTTTCATAAAACCCACAGCCCAGCATCAGCCACTGGCGCCAATTTATACAAGAATTTCGCTTTGGTCTGCGCTGCGGCTGCTTTGAACTGGGGCGCCGGGAAAAGCCACCTCCAGCTGGAGTCCTGTCGCTGTCGGGGCTCCCCCGGGGAAGCAGAAGGAAAACCCACTTGTCTTTGAGACTTGGGGTTTGGAGACTGAGATGGGGGGTGGCCAGAGAGGAGAGAGGCCAGGGAGGGGACAAGGGACGGTTCGCTCTGAGGCTGGCAGGCCCCCGCGGGGAGGCGCCTCTGGCCTCCCTTCACGACTACTCTTCTGCAGAGGACGACGCAGGACTCTCGTCATCTGACATCGGGGCAAACTGAAACGAGAAGCAGAATTCTTTTTGTCTGGCATCCTTACAGATCCCTGCAAGGCGCCACTGGCTTTGCGGCCGGCCCCGTGTGGGTGAGGAAAGAAGGAGGAGTGATCTCTGGCCTCAAGGAGGTGGCGTCCTAGTGGAGACTCCCTGCAGGAGCAAATAAATGCGCGCAGGAGAGGATTCTGATCAGGGATAACGGACAGATGGGAGTGGAGGGGGACAGTGGGTGGTCAGGGAGGGTGATGTCTGAGCTGGTCTCTGAACGATGTCAAGGGACCAGTCACGGGGGAAGGGCATTCCAGGCTGAGCAACCAGCAAGTGCAAAGGCCCTGGGGTAGGAACAGAGAATAAGGCCAGCGTGGCTGGAGTGGAAGTGGAGGGAGTGCAGGGAGGTGAGGGCGGTTTTGCAGGGCCTGGTGGGCTCTGGGGAGGACTACGGCTTTCTCTCTAAGTGAGGTGGGAGCCACGGAGGGTTGTGAGAAGAGGAGGGAGGTGTCCTGACTCGGGTGTTCACAATGACCTCTAGCTGCTGTGAGGAGGACAGACTGGGGGTGGGGTGAGGACAGGAGCTGAGGAACCAGGGCAGGGTAACAGCAGTGGTCCAGGTGGATGATGATGGGGGATGAGGTGATCAAAGCCCCGTATGCCTTTAGCTCTTCATGAACACCCATCTCCTACCAGAGTGCCCACCCTCCATCCCGCTGGGTTGAGACTCACCGAGCACTTGATGTTCATGCGGGAGTACAGCATGGACGCGATCTCACTCTGCCCTGCATCCAAGGCCACCATCAGTGCCGTGCTCCCGTCCTGCAAAGTAGCTGTTGCTATGGTGACACCCCTCGCTGTGTTCCCACCCTCCCCTGGGGTGCGCCTGGGTGGGGACTCACGCGGTCAGTGAGCGAGATGTCGCAGCTGGGCATGGCCAGCAGCAGCCCAGCGATCTCCTTGTGGCCGTGCTCGCAGGCGCACATGAGCGCTGTGGAACCGTCATCATCTTGCACGTTGACATCCGCCTCGCAGGCCAGCAGGGCTTTGACCACGTCCACCCGCCCATGGCTGACCGCCAGCATCAGGGCTGTCTGCCCTGCCTGGGCAGAGGAAGGAACAGAATTATGGTTCACACAGGCTCCAGGGTATGACACTCCTGCTCCTGAACCTGCCATGGCTCCCAAGTACTCTGACGCTGACACACACAACCGCACTCACAGACCTCCTGTATCTCCAACAACTCTTTCTACCACAGGGCCAGACGTAGAAGATCACATATATATAGTTCCATTTATATGAAATATCCAGAATAGGTAAACCCAGAGACAGAAAGCAGATTAGTGGTTTCCAGGGGCTGGAGGAAGATGGCAGGGAAAGGGAAGGACTGTTAATGGGGTGCAGGGTTTCCTTTGGAATGGAATGTTCTGGAACTAGATAGAGGTGGTAGTTGCACAACATTGTAAATGTACTAAATGCCACCAAAGATTGTTCACTTTAAAAGGGTTAATCTAGGGCTAGCCGGTTAGCTCAGTTGGCTGGAGCACAGGGTTATAACACCAAGGTCAAGGGTACGGATCCCCAAACTGGCCAGCCACCACACACAAAAAGGGTGGGGGTTAACCTTATGTGAAATGAATTTCAACTCAAATGAGAAAAAAGAAATCACTAAAATTTTTTTTGAAAATTAAGAAAAACTTAAATCAATAAAAATAAAGCAGGGTCAGCTCCTGTTATGCCCCATCACAGTGCCCTGCTGTTCTGTCACTGCATTTAAGCTACTGGCAATCCCTGCCATCATCGCTGTCCCCACAGGGTCCTCGCTGCCCTGCTTTTCTGCCGGGACACCTCTCTGTGTCCCAGTCACCTCCATAGTCTCCCGGCTTCCATACCCCAACCCGCAGCTGAAAGGAGCTCTCAAATCAGGGATCGGGCCATGCCACTCCCCTCCCTGGTGACTTCCCTCATCCCCCGTGTCCTAACCTGCTCCAAACCCCAGTGATGCCTGAAATTCTGTGGCTCCTGCAGCGCCCGGTTACTTAGTGAGCTTCAGGAGGTGGGACTGTGCCTGCCTATCCACCATTTGGGTCCCCAGTGTCCAGCCGCTGTGAACCCCGTTGCTGCTCAGTGAATTACCAAGCAGCACGCAGGATGGTGTCGGATTATGAAAGGTGAGGACCCCATGTCCTCCATACCCCGCACTTTCCACAAGAAGGTCCTGTGCCAGAGGCAGCAGGTTATTAAGAACAGGGCTCTGGAGCTAGACCACCTGGGTTCAAATCCCGCCTTCTTGACTATGACCTTGAGGAAATGCCTCTGCTTCTCCGAGCCTCAGTTTCCTCGCCTATGGAGTGGCGGCTCCCTGAGGTCATGTTCAGGCGTAGCGTACCTGGCTGGCTTTGGCATTGACGTCTCCGAGCCGGAAGAGCTGTAGAACAGTCTCGATGTCATCCTGAGTCTTCAGGGTGGCCAGAGCCGTGAGCATAATGGGGCTGTAGCCAGCGCGGTTCTGCTTGTCCACCTGGCAGACGCCTGAGCGAGAGGCATGGCAGGGGTGAGCCCTCGGACCAGGCTGCGTCTCTGCCATCAGAATGGAAGCCTTGCTTCACTCTACCACAGTGAGCACTGGGCTCCGTGTCTCCCCCCTCAGTCTAGGCATGGCCTAATTCCTCCCTTTTCTCAGACTGAGGACCCCACTCTGTCCCAGCCAGGGGTCTCCATCTCCATTGTGTTACTCTGTCGGACAAGGGGCTCCGAAGATGGAGACTGTGCCACCCCCATCAGACTTGGGGCTCCTGATGCTGGCACCCATGTTTAGGACTGAGAATAGATGCTAATTTGGAAGAGCCATTGACCCATCAGACTGGCCTATGTCTCCTCCATCAGACTGTGGACTCTGCCTCCTCCATCAGACTGGGAGGGCTACATTCCCCCCACCAGATTGGAGGGTGACATCTTCTCTATCAGACTGGAAGGGCCATGTCTCCCTCATCAGACAGGGAGGGCGGTGTCTCCCCCATCGGGCCATCATACTGGGGGGGGCGACAGACGGCCACTCACTCGGGCCCTTCCCCGTCCCTGCTGGGCTCACCGCTGTCGAGCAGCTGCCGCACCACAGGGAAATTGGCGTGAGACACAGAGTAGTGCAGTGCCGTGTTGCCATTGCTGTCGGCGATGTTGACCACATATTCCAGCAGCCGCGCGGACATGGCCCGGAACGTGACCAGGTGGCGCCGCACAAGCTCGGGGTGTGCATCGCTGCGGCAGGCCAGGCGCAGCCACTCCTGCAGCACTGTGGTGTAGGCCACTTTCTGGATGCAAGTCGGGTGGGAGAGGGGCGTGGGGCGGTGAACCCCAACCCCGCCCGGACAAAGACCCAGGAGGGGAGCATGGCCACTGCACCCCGGGCGAGCCCCCTGGAGCAGTGTGGCGCCCCTGTCCTGGACAGAGCCCTCGAGGAAAGTGTGGATGCACCCAGAAGGAAGCGTGGACACCCCTGTCCCAACAAGACCCTTGAAGGGAAGTGTAGACACGGTCATCCCAGACATGATCCCCAAGGGAGGGTGTGAGCCTCTCCATCCTGGATACAGTCTTTTTTGGGGGGCGGGGGGAGGCTGGCCAGAACAGGGATCGAACCCTTGACCTTGGTTGTTATCAGCACCAGGCTCTACTGGGTGAGCTAACAGGTCAGCCCAATGGATAGTCTTCGAAGGCAAGGAAAAAGGAAAATATGGGAGCCCCCACCCCAATCCCCTGGAAGGAAGAGGAGCAGCAGGCTTGTCCCGTGGGCGATCATCTTGGGGCCCTTCCCCGCCTCCCTGGCGCCTTCCTGGCCCCTCTCCAAGGCCCGTGACTCGAACACCACCCTCCCCCAGCTCCGGGCTTGGATCCCAGGGTCCCCACTGGGCAGATGGAGGGAGACACCGAGAATGAGGAGAAGCCAAGGGTGGGGCTGGAGGGGTCGGAGGGGCTCCACCAAGGCCCAGGGCCCGACCGTACCAGCTCCCGCTCGGTGAGGGCGTTGGGGTTGTCCAGGTACTTTTCCAGGGCCAAGCAGGCTGAGATGAGGTCGGGGCTCAGCTCCATCCTGCCAGGAGCAGATCGGCGGATTTATCTGAGGAGTACCCACCTCCATCTCCTGAGTCCCCCCACTCCTACCCAGAGCTGAGGTGCTTGGGGAGGGGTTCAATACTGTCTACTATGATGCTCACACAGTCCTGACAGGGCTCACCTGAATGGTGGCATCTCAGACCCCCTTCACTTGGGACACACTCTTATACTGCACCTCAAGGGGCAGACAGAGGGAACACACAGACCCCAAGAGAAAGTGGATATATAATCCAAAATTCATTTCAAATGGCCAGTGTGCAGATGAAAAATCTTTCCCAAGGGCAGATTTTTCATCAGGGAAAAAAAGAAAGATATAAATAGGATGGGCAGGTGGAGTAAATGTCCCCCTCAAAAGGTGGGTTGCTTAAGAATAAACTTTGCCTGGCCCCCTAAATCCTAACCCCAGCAGACTGAAATACCCCATCAGGCCCTTTGTCAAAGCCAGACCTTCAGATGTCCAGAAGGAGAAAGTGCTCACTCACTAATTTAGACTAAGGTGTGCATGACTGATGGGGGCTCCCTCAGAGGGCTTGAATGGTGGGGTTTAAGGCAGAGGTCACCTGCCCCTGGCCCTGCCTGAATCCCTCCCTCCCAGAAAACTGACCGGATCTCCTCCTCCGTGTTTGATCCTGATGCCCCCTCAGCCGTGGGCATGTGCTGAGACTCCCTAGACAGCTGGCATTCCTGCTGGCTGGTCTTGGCCATGGCTGGCCCTGTGGGCCTGAGCTGGGGGGCTTTGGCCACACTCGGAACCCTCTCCTCCGTCTCTGGGGCCTCGTTCTCTGTGCTGTCGTTGTCTGAGAAGTTCTCTGCCGTGCTCGAGTCTTCAGAGGACTCATACCTGGGGAGGGAGGACGGATGGGACAGAGGAGACGTTACAGATGGGATGGGACGTGGTGGGGGAGGGACACATGGACCTGGCTACCTGACCTCCCTCAGCCTCAGTTTCCCCATCTGTTAAATGGGGACAATAGCAGTACTGACCTCACGGGGCTGCAGGGCTGCCCCTTATGCAGGTGTTACTGATTCAGACCCTCATCCCACTGCAAGCAGGACCCACCTGTGCTTCTTGCTACTTCTTGACAAAGTCTAAGCTCCTGGGCACGGCATTCAAGGCCCCGAACCAACCATCGCTTACCACTTCCTCCTACCTCTGGGCCTTTACCCAGGCTGTGCCCTCTACCAGGAGAGCCTTCCCCACGCACCACTCTTTTGGTTTTTTGGACGTCTGGCCGGTACAGGGTTCTGAACCCTTGACCTTGGTGCACACGTCCCACTCTTCACCTTGCTAGCTCCTACCTGTCCCGTAGCACACATGTCCCCTCCTTCCCCTGGAGACCCGCACTACCTGAATGTCCCCCATCTTTGCTCCCATCCCACCACACCGTGCTGGAACTGCCATCTGTGTCCTGGACGGGGAGCTTGGTCAGGGCCAGGAGCTGCACCTGGCACCTCCCAGTGGGTAGGATGGTGCAATGGTTATGCCACAGGCTCTGGAGCCAGACCACCCAGGGCAGACTCCTGGGTCACTGTGTGAGCTCCAGCCAAGCGCTCAGACTCCTTGTGCCTCAGTTTCTCCATCTCTCTATGACAGTTTGGTTAAATGAATTAATCAAAGGGAAGGACTTAGAATGGGGTACTGGGTACATTCTTGTGCAGGAACGAACTGAGGAGCAAGCAGGAGTGAGGAGAGGACAGGGAGTGGAGGACGGGGGCTCCCCTCACCCGCCATTGACCCCCACGAACTGGAGGCTTCTCCGGTGGGCCGCCGGGTCTGTGGGCTCCTCTTTCCGCTTCATGATGGACCGCACGCCTGCCTGGGGACCACCTAGTGGGGAGGGCGGTGTCAGGACAGTCCCTTGCAGCCAGACTCTGAGCCTGGGCCTGCTGGCGCCCCATCCCTTTTGGTGGTCACCCCACTTACCTGCACCCCCAGCCTCCTCTGATTTGTGCGAGGTTGCTTGCCTGGTGGACCCTCTGTTGGTGGCATCGTGGGCGGGCACCTGGCCTGCGTTCTTCTCAGGCTGCACCAGCGAGGCCGCTGTGGACCCTGTGGGTGATGAGGACGACTCTGCAAGGGCCTGTGGGGGACCTGGAGGGACAGGAAATGAGGCATCCCTGTGGGTCGTAACAGCCAAACAACAACAATCACAACAGCTGTCACCTGTGGATCACATACCCTGGGCCAGGCACTGTCTGAGGGCTAATTCTTGTGTTACCTTGTCAAATCTTCCAAGCCCACCAGAGGGTTGGATTATTACAGATGAGGAAACTGAGGCACAGAGAGTTGCCAAGGTCACCCAGCCAGCGAGGAGCAGAATGCAATTCCAACTCCAGTCTGTTGCCTGCCCTGCAGCTGTTCAGGGACAAGGAGGACCCTGCACCCCACGATCCTGCCTCAAGACCACCCCCACCTCTGATGTCATCTAGAAAAAAGGTCTGATGACAGCCGAGCAAGGTGGTCACAGCAGAGACTCAAATCTCTCACCTATCAGCTGTGTGACCTCAGGCAGGTTACTTAACCTCTCTGTGCCCCAGACAAATGACATTTCGTACTTCGTGGTGCTGGGCAAACGAAGTTGGTGACTCAGTGCCAGCATATCAAGAGTGCTCGAGAAGCATTTGGGTTTTTTGTGGGCAGCTGGCCGGTATGGGGATCCAAACCCTTGACCCTGGTGTTACAAAGCTGCGCTCTAACCAACTGAGCTAACATAAACTATATTTTTGACAGGACTTAAAAGTGTTATGGTTTTTTCGCCTCAAAGCAGGATTGTGTTGTGAATATCATTTTGCATCCAGCTTCCTTCTCTTTTTCTTCATGTAACATTAAGCAGGATTACTTTAACGAGACAAAGAAACAATAAGGGCTATTAGAAAATTAAAATTAAAATCCACCCAGGAGTTTCAGCTGGAGAAGATGAGAAAGTTCTGGAGATGGATGGTGGGGACGGCTGCATGACAGGATGAGTGTGCTCTATGCCACTGAATCGTATACTTAAAAATGGCTAAAATGGTAAATTTAATGTAATGTGTATTTTATCACCATTAAATAAATCAGACCCACCCAAGCTAGTCTGCAGACAAAGGTGACTCCCAGGGCATCAGACCCCGGGGGTGTCCCCGCCCAGGCTGGGAATGGGGATGTCGGGGAGTTCAAGTCCTGGATCTCCAGCTTGGAGTGTGGAATAAAAATTTGGTTTAGGGCTAGCCTGTTAGCTCATTTGGTTGGAGTACGGTGCCGATCATACCAAGATCAAGGGTTTGGATCCCTGTACTGACCAGCTGCCAAAAAAAAAAAAAAAAAAAAAAAAAATCCAGTTTCCACTTTGAGTGGCCGCCCACATCTTGGAATCTACTCAGGTCCCCCCAGGCCACGTGTGGCTTCTGTGTCACCACTTCCTCAGGGCCTTCCCTTCCTGCCACTGCCCACTGACTCTGAAGACCAATTCATTTTAATTCCCTTTAATGGCTAAAAGTGTTTTTTTTTTTTTTAAAGATGACTGGTAAGGGGATTTTAACCCTTGACCTGGTGTTGTCAGCACCACGCTCTCCCAAGTGAGCCACAGCCCGGCCCTTAAAAATGCTTTTGACATACACAGTAACTATGTCCTCAAGTTCACGGGTGACTCTCAAGTTTACTAAAGAACAGGGAGTAAATGCTCAACACAAGTGAAGAGTGCAGACAGGGCAGGGCTGCATGAGACACTTGGTCATAAAGGCTTCCAACAGCATCCCCTGTCCAGGGTGTGGCTGGCCCAGGCCTCACCCAGAGCTGGGGTTTGAACTCCCATGGGAGCAAATGCCAGGTTGTTATGTTGATCTGATGTTTAAAAATTTAAAAATTTATATTTACTTTTAATTTTTTTGTGTGCAGCTGGCCAGTATGGGGATTCAAACCCGTGACCTTGGTGTTATAACATGGTGCTCTAACCAACTGAAACCTTGACAATAAATTCACATGAAATAAACACACACACTGTATGGCCAAGTGAAATGTGTCAGGAGCCAGGTAATCCATTCACAATCTCAATCTCTGCCCAAAACTCAGGGCTCCTGATTGAAAATCCTAGAAGAGCCAGACAATGAGCTGGAGTAACATTATGCCCAGTGAAATAAACTAGGCATGAAAGGACACACACTGTATGTTTCCACCCATAGGAGGGCCCAGAGTAGTCAGATCCATAAAGACAGAAAGTGGAATTGTGGGTGCCAGGGGCTGGGGAGGGGAATGGGGAGTGGGTGTTTAATGCAGGCAGAGTTTCAGTTGGAGAAGATGAGAAAGTTCTAGAGATGGATGATGGTGATGGTTGGACAACCATGTGAATGTACTTAATGCCTCTGAACTGTATATTCAAAAACAGTGAAGATGATAAGTTTTACGTTAGGTGTATTTTACCAGGATTTTAAAAAAGTGAACAGAAAAATAAACTGGAGCAACACCAAAGTCCATTCTGCCCCAAGAGAAAAGCAGACACTGTTTTTAAAAGCTTTGATGGCTCCTTCTAGCCTGAGGATTTCAAGGCTAGACACTGAAATGCTAGAACAACAACAAAAAATAATAAAATGGGTAATATTTATTTTTGTTTTCCACTAAGGGGCAAACTGATCCCAAAATTGATGTAGATTTAGTTAAAGCCCGTGTCAAGCTCACACAGTCTTTTTGTTGTTGTTGTTGTCTTCTTGATGGCTGGTTGGTATTGGAGTCCAAACCCTTGACCTTAGTGTTATAACTCCACGCTCTAACCAACTGAGCTAACTGGCCAGCCCCAAGCTAACACAAATTTACAAAAGAAGTGCAGAGATGGGGAATCCAGTCTGCCACAGAGTAAAATATATTCCAAAGCTACAACAATCAAAACAGCAGGGCATTGTTGTATAAACAACAGGCCAAAGGAACAGAGGACAGAGCCCAGCACAGACTCCAATCTCAGGGAACTGGAGGAAAGATTTGTGTCCACAAATCAGTGGGAAAGGATGAGTTCTGTGGTGTGGTACTGGGAAATGCAGCTTACTCTACTGAGAAAAATCAAGCCAGATTCCTACCTCACACTGTATACCTGAAAGAAACTATGAAGGATTAAAGCTAAATGAAGAAAATGTAGCAGAATATTACGGGGCCTCAGGAAGGGGAAAGATTCCTTTAAAAATTCCTCAAAGCAGGGCTGACCAGTTAGCTCGGCTGGTTAAAGCACAGCCTTATAACACCAAGGTCAAGGGTTTAGTTCCCTGCACTAGCCAGCTGCCCCCCCCCCAAAAAAAAAAAAGAAAATAAAAATTCCTCAAAGCTTAGACCACATATGAAAAATACAATGGGCTTAATTATATCCAAAATGCAGATTTCTATTTGACTTAAAAAAAAACCCCTCATAAACAAAGTTAATCAATAGAAGAGAGAGATGGCAGGCAAGGGGAGATATTTGCATAGCCAAAAACGTGCAAAGGATTATCTTCTAGCTCAGAGATCAACAGACTTTTTCTGTAAAAAGCCAGATAAGTAAATATTTTTGGCTGTGCGGGCCATAAGGTGTCAGTCACAACCATTTGATTCTGACGTTGCTGTAATGCAAAAGCAGCCACAGACGGTATGTAAATGAATAGGCGTGGCTACGTCCCAATAAATTTGAATTTCATATAATTTTGCTCATGTCACAAAATATTATTCTTGGGCTGGCCAGGTAGTGGTGTTGTAACACCCAGGTCAAGGGTTCAGATCCCCATACAGGCCAGCTGCCAAAAAAAATATATATATATTTTCAAATTTTTTAATCATTTAAGAACGTAAAAACCATTCTTAGCTGTGGGCCATACATAAAAAAGCAGGTGGCAGGCTGGATTTGGCCCGCAGGATATAGTTTGCCAATCCTTATTCTGGAATATGCCAGGAACTTCTAAAAATTGCTCACAGAAAAATGGACAAAGGTTACATATAAGGGACCCACAGAGGAATCTTATTAAACATAGAGGAGATGCCCAACCTCACCCAACATCAGAAATGCAAATTAAAACAATAAGGAAATACCACTTTACGCCAGCAGCAGATGGGCAAAAAAATTAGAAAGATGGATGAAAAGGTATGTTGGTGAGAATGTGGGGAAACAGGCACCTCAGAATGTGGACCAGAGAGAGCTTTTTTGGAGAGGATGAGACAGGACTGGAAGTTATATTTTCCCTCCCCTGTGACCCAGCAACCCCACGGGAGGGGATGCGGGTGGATGGCCCCAGCATCGTTCCTGGTGGCAGGAAGTTGGAAGGAACCCAGGTACCCACCAAGATGGGGTGAGCTAAGAAAAATGTAGTGCTGTATACACCTAGAGCAGAAATCTATGCAGCCATTAAAAGCGACAAACCAGATTAACAAACATCACTGTGGAGAGTTCAAAAATAGTGTATGGAGAGGAAAAAATAAGAGACAGAGATTTTGTTTTTCTGAAGCACAATACCATTTAAGGAAACTAGACATACACAGGGCATATTTTTCAAGGAGACCCAAATATCTTTTTGTTGTTGTTGTTTTTAAGTGGCTGGGCAACATGGGGATCCGAACCCATGACCTTGGTGTTGTAACACTGTGCTCTAACCAACTGAGCTAACTGGCCAGCCCCAAATATTTAAATAAGCTTCTGGATGATGGATTACAATGTATTAAATGGGGTGAGGGTGGAATTAATGGTGGGGGTATGTGAATGGCCTAGAGCAGAGGTTGGCAAGCTGCAGACTGTGGGCACAGTTGTTTTGCGTGTGTGGCAGCTGGCCAGCATGGGGATCCAAACCCAGTTTTTACATTTTTTAACGGCTGGAAAAAAGTCAAAAGAAGAATACTATTTGGGACATGTGAAAAGTACATGAAATTGAAATTTTGGGCTTGCTGGTTAGCTCAGTTGATGAGAGCACGGTGTTGACAACACCAAGGTCAAGGGTTCAGATCCCAGCCATCCCCCTCCGCCAAAAAAAAAAAAAAGAAATTGAAATTTCAGTGTCCACAAATAAAGTTTTATTGGGATACTCTAATGCTTGTTCCCTGACATATTGGCTACGGTGCTTTTGCGTTTGCAAATGGCGTAACTGAGGCACCAAACTCATCGAAATGTATACATACGATATGTCTGATTTTTTGCACATTAAGTGTACCTCAATAAAGCAGAGGAAAAAAAACAGAGGCAGAGTTCACTTGATGTGACAGAGACTGTATGGTCTGCAAAGCTGAAAATACTTACCGACCCTTGGCACTGAGGATAGAAGAGGAAGGGATAAAAATAATGAGCAAGGGGTTGGCCTGTTCACTCAGTTGGTTAGAGTGCATTATTGATGTCACCAAGGTCAAGGGTTTGGATCCCCAGGCTGGCCAGCCACCAATAAATAAGTAAAACTAAAAAAAATAAAAATAAGTAAAACAAGAGAGGTGGTGTGCACAGACCAATGGAGATGCCTGCCATGAGCTGAAGAATTAGATGAACTCAATTTCGGGCTCCTTCAGTTCAAAGGAAATAATAAAAATTTTTATCACTCAGCCATCCCATGCAGGGAGGGTGCGAGGCCATGGGGCAACAGTCATCAAGGTCCTCAAAAATGCCCTTCCAGAAACCTGAGAAAACAGATCAGAGGATATGAGGGGCTTCCAAGAAAGGACAACCTCATGGCACTGTTGACAAAGAAAAACTGGACGCAACTCAATGGTCAGGCATCAGGGCCAGTCCTGTAAATCTCAGTCTCCCCACTCAGAAAATGGTGCGACTGTTAAAAAATGAACAGCATATCCAAAGAATTTTTACTAACCCAAGAAATACTTCTGAAATAATGTGAAATCAAAGATGGAGTTTAAATCCCAGCTTTGAGGACTGTGGGCAAATCCCTTAACCTCCCTGGGCCTCAGTTTCCTCATCTGTAAAATGGGGATAAAAACATTACCCACCTCATAATGTCACTGGAGATTTAAATGAATTAAAATGAAAGCAAAATTCAAAACAAACCAGGGCAGGCCCTGTGGCGCACTCGGGAGAGTGCGGTGCTGGGAGCTCAGCGATGCTCCCGCCGTGGGTTCGGATCCTATATGGGAATGGCCGGTGCACTCACTGGCTGAGCGCGGTGAGGGCGACACCACACCAAGGGTTGCGATCCCCTTACCAGTCACGAAAAAGACAAAAAAAGAAATTCAAAACAAACCAAAACAACAATTTCCATCAGCTCTGTGCTGCCAGACTTGAAAAACACACATTTTATGTATTAAAAAATTAGGAAGCAAAGCAGCAGAAGCACTGACAGCAGCTACACTGGGTGGTGGTGGGTTTATAGGTTTTTGTTCTTCTAGATTTTTCTGTCCTTTCTGAACATTCCACAAAGCATATGAATCACTTTCATGGGAATATGTTTTGAACAAGAGCACTGGGAATTTCAAAGCTTTGGAGAGATCCCACCGGTACACATCCCTGGTTGCCCCTTTTCCCGCTGACCCATCTGAGGTGACTTTGCCAGGTGTGGGGGTTGGGGGGAAGGATAGAATTCTGTGGGGTCTCCAGTCCCCTGCCCCCCCACCTTTGGCAGCCTGAGGGGAAGCTGGCCTCCCACCCTCCCTGCCCTCTGGCTACAGAGAGTGAATTCCTGCTCTGCTAAAAAAACAGTGTCCTTGCTAGACGGTAAACAGGTTGGGCCCCTCTCTGTCTCCTCCTCCAGGAAGCCCTCCCTCATCTACTCACCAAGCTGCCCAGCCCAAGCAAACACAACACGACCACATCTCCCGAGCACCTGTCAAGTCCTTGTACCATCTCATTTCATTTCCCATATCACTCCTCGCCACAGCACAGGAGCCCTGTGGAACCCAGTTCCCTGGTGCTCAGACTCCCCCGTCCCTCGTTTCTCTGGCCTCATCACATTCTAGCTGGTTTGACACCTCGACAAGCCTGAGCCCCTCCTCACCTCAGGGTCTCTGTTCCTGTTGTGTCCCCGCCTGGAACACTCTCTTTTCCACCCCTTTAACCACCTGGCTGCTTCTTCCTGTTCACATCTCGGCTCACCTCGAGCCCCTTTTATGCACCTGGTGCCATGTTGAACCCTTGACATGAATTAATGTATTGAAGCCTCACATTAATCTGGTGACATCGTGCTGTCAGGACACTTGATTTGCAAATCAGAGAACTGAGGCATGGAGAGGCTAAATAGCATACTTAAGGAAACCAAGCCAGAGAACAGGTAAACCAGGATTTACACCCAGGCCACGACCCCATTCAATCACTACCAACCCCTGCCCCCATTTTATTTGCTTCAAACACGTATTCTCTGAAATGATATTTCTTCGCTTATTTACTGCAGTCTTATTTATTATTAATTTTTTGGCAGCTGGACAGCACAGGGCTCGAACCTGTGACCTTTGTGTTATCAGCACCATGCTCTAACCAGCTGAGCTAACCGGCCAGCATTTCTTCGCTTATTTACTGCAGTCTTATTTATTATTAATTTTTTGGCAGCTGGACAGCACAGGGATCGAACCTGTGACCTTTGTGTTATCAGCACCATGCTCTAACCAGCTGAGCTAACCGGCCAGCCCAATTAATTTCTTTCTTTAGCTCCCTCCCCGTTATTTATTTATATGCAGGGACTTTAGCATCTGTCTTGTTCACCGCTGTGGCCTCAGTGCCTAGAAAAGTCGGGTGCACTGTAGGCACTTGGTAAACATGTTTTGAATGAGAAGATATTGAAATGAATGAATACATTCCAGCTCTGCCCAAGGAAGGCAGAGACTGGAGCTGGCTGCAGCAAGTGGGGGTTAAGTGAGACACAAGGAAGAACTTCCAGAGGTGGGAGGTTTCACAGTGGGTGGACATTGCTACGTCTGTATGTCCTGCAGGCAGGAGGCCCCACGGCTGCTCTGGCAGGCGCAAGTGGAATAACGATGGCCACTCAGAGATTCTGGGGCTGAGCTGGGCAGGCCCCCTGGCTGGGGGCCAGAGCCGCAGGGCCGGGTGTTTGCGATGGATATGGAGCAGAAGGGTGGTGTCCGGAGCTGGCCAGAAACAACACAGGCAAGCAAAAAAAACACAGCTGGGTCCCTGCTCTCCAGCCTGTGCCCTCTGGACCCTCAGTAGGGCTCTGGCCACCTGACACTTGAGACTGCGATGACAACTTGGACCCCGCCTCCAAGCCCTGCCACAGGGTCAAGCTGAGCTGGGTTCAGATCCTGGCTCGGCCACTTCCTGGCTGTGTGACACAGGTCAAGTGAATCCTCTCCCTAAGCCTCAGTTTCCTCAGCTATAAACAGGGTTGACCTAAAAGTTACCAGCAGAAGCAGCAATGAGTACTTACTGTGTGCATTAATTTGCAAAAGTTCTTAGATGTGGGGACCATTATTATGTCTCTTCACAGAAAAAGAAGCTGAGGCCCAGAGAGGTGACATTGCTCACCCAGGGCCACACAGAAAAAAGTGGAATTTGAACTCAGATCACATGGTGCAGCCTCTTTAACCCTCCTTGCATGAAACATTTAGCATAGCATCTGGAACCCCCCAGCTGGTACTTGCTAAAGAATAGTTGTCATTATTATGAATCGTTACAGCAGCTTCTCCCAGGAGCCTCAGGGCGGTGGGGCAGCTGGCATTCCACACAACCAGGATTCCCTTTCCTGGCATGAGGACTCAGCATTTCCTCTGGGGAGCACTCTTTCCCTCCCTCAAAGGCCACTGGGCTTGGGTGGGGCTCCTGTACCCCCAGCATCCAGGCTGGGCAATGAGGGACATAGGAATTGGCACCCCTGGGATTTTTACTGGTGCTATTTGGATTAAGGGGCTCCCTTTCCAGTGAGCTAGAAGGACAGATGCCTGGAGCAATGGAGCCACCTTCCTTTGCCTGACTGAGACAGAAGCGCCCAGCGTAGATAAAAGAAGAGAAAGAGAGCAAGTTCGAGATTCCTGCTGACATCTGAGCACCTGGATCCAGCCATGCCTGAAGCTGTCCCTAGGTTGCCTGAACAACACATTTCCTTTTCATTGCTTAAACTGGTCTGAAGGGGCTGGCCTGTGGCTCACTTGGGAGAGCGTGGTGCTGACAACACCAAGTCAAGGGTTAAGATCCCCTTACTGCTCATCTTTAAAAAAAAACAAACAAAACTGGTCTGAGATTCATTCCTGCCACTTACTTAATAAACAGGGAAGTTTTTTGCCCAGCAAACCAATAGCCTTGGGGAACCTCCCCCAAATACCTCCTGTTTTCTGGATACTTACAATGTGCCAGACACCCAGTTTCTCTGCACAGTCCCTACAGCCCTGAGGTCAGTGGCACAATTCCCCCCTTTTGCAGATGAAGAGACAGAGGCTCCGAGAGCGGAGCGATCTGTCTGGTAGAAGGTGGGGGCTAGCGCTGGGGCTGGACCCAGGCATTCCAAGGGTCCAGGCTGAGCCATGGGAAGAAAGAGGGGTGCCCAACCGTTCTCCCCTGCCCATGATCACTTACCTGCTGCCAGCGCATCGCAGCTTCGGTCTGTGATGCTGATCTTCTTCACCACGTGGACGTTACCGGTGGTCGCCGTGGGCACAGGGCACATTGTCTCCACCACCTCATGGCTGCGGAACACAGCGGGGCTCTCTGCCCTGCCGGATGTCGCCAGGGCCCTCAGCCCTGCTCCATAGGGCTCCAGACTCTGGGCACGCTGTGCCGGGGCCCCAGCAGCTGTGCTGGCTGCCACCTCCACCTCCCGTGGCCCCTCCACTACCCGGACAGTGTCCACGCGGACCGGGCTGTCTGGCGGTGGCTAGGCCTGTGGCTGGGGGTCAACCTGCCGGGCCTGAGCTGCCTGCAGCTCCTGTAGTGCTTTTTTGAGCTGGGTCTCCAGCACAGCGATCTTGGCGGCAAGGGCTGCTTCCCCATCAGGCATGCCCAAGTCCCGCTCTCGGACCCAGGTGCCCACGCTTCGGGTCTCCAGTGCCACCGGGTCCTCAGGGGGGTCAGGGAGGTCCAGGCAGAGCTCGCTGCGGCCCCGGGCCCCTGCAGGGTGGCCCAGGAACTTCTGGCTTTTGAGCTGCACCGTGAGCTGTCGCTTTTCCTCCTGCAGCACTGACAGCTTTACCTGGAGCACGGGGATCAGCTTTACCTGCTCCTCCAGCTGCCGCAGCTTGCGCAGGGCACCTGCCATCTGCTCCCGCACATGGGCCAGGTGCCCGGCGCTGGGTGGCACCGGCGTGGACAGTCCTGAGCTGCGTGGGGTTGGGGGTGGCAGCCCCACACCCACCAAGGAGTTGGTGGAGCCAGCCGCGCTGGGAGTCAGGGAGCCCAGGCCAGTGGGCGCGGCCGCCTGGTCCTCGAGGCGGCGCCGGGCATCGAGCAACGTGCGTTCGACGCGCGGGTTGAAGCCCCCGCGGGCCTCCAGGGCACCGTACTGCGGGTAGAAGCCACGGCCACAGTAGGAGTAGGCTGAGTGGCGGCTGTCCCCGCTGGCGTTGGAGCACAGCGACTCGGTGGATGTCCACCAGGGGCCAGGGCCGCGGGGAAGCGAGCCCAGACGTGGGCGGCGCTGCACGGCCACACGTCGCAGCGTGTGGCCCTTCTCGATGTCATCCACGTATTTGAGGAAGTCCAGGTCGAGGCGGTAGCCGTAGGGAGTCTCCACGGAGTAGGGCGGGTCGGGCTCCTTGGCTGGGAAGGCGGGTGGGGAGGCTGGGCCGGGGGTCCCTGGGGTGGGGGGAAACACCGGTGCCTCTGAATACTGCTGTCCCTTCTCCGGGCAAAGACTGATGTCCTGGGAGAGTCAGGGTTTATCTGCCCAAGGGATTGGAGCCCACTGGGCGCTCAACTGTGCCTGTCTTCAGTCTCAGACCCTCAGGGAGGTGCTGTGCCACCCAAGCACCAAACCCCCAGGGCAGGGCTGTGACTCCCCCCTGAAGCCCCCAGTGCTGGGCCGTATCCTCCCTCAAATCCCCCAGGACAGGGCCCTATCTGCTCCCTTAGACTAAACCCCTTTCCTGGCAAGACTCTGCCTCCCCCCTCAGACCCTTGCAGGGTGGGGCTGTGTCTCCCCCATCAGATCCTCCCAGGTTAGGGCTGTATTCTTCTTCAAGCCCCCCAGGACAGGGCCTGCCTCCTCCCTCAGACCCTCCAAGGCAGAGCCATGTCTTCCCCTCTCAAGCCCCCCAGGGCAGAGCCCTCTTCCACCTGAGACCCCTGACCTGGGAAGGGGGCTGGCACGTGCAGGACTTGGGCCATCCTCCTGTCTGTGGACGCTCCTCAGGAGTCACTTGGGGGACTGTAAGTCAGACTGCCTACAGCACTGGCTGAGGCTCACCTGGGGAGGGGGGCGTTGGAGGAGGGAGTCAGGAGGAGGGGAGGAGAGGTGGCCGTCCCCTCCACAGCTGCCCCATCCAGCCTCCCACCCAGGTCTGGGCCCTCATAGGGGCACAGTCTGCCTGGCTGCAGAAAGTGGGGGGTGGGGGGGTAAGGCCTGGAACAAAGAAACCAAACCTCACTGCTTCTTGCACATCTGTCCAGCCCCTGGACAGGCTCCAGCTGTTCCCACAGCTCTGCCTCCACCCGGCCCCCAGGCTGGGGGGCCCTAAGCCCAATAGGCCCCACCCTTCCTGCACCCCCTCCCCTCAGCCCAGGCCCAGAGCTGGCCACAGGGAAAGATGGGAGCTGGGGTGCTAATGGAGGGGGGACAGTTTTCCTGCATGGATCTAGGGAGACTAAGAAAGACAGGGCAGAGAGTAGGGGACCCCAAGCAACCCCAAAGCAGAGAGCTCAGTCAGGCCAGGCCTGGGGGGGGGGGCGATAGGAAAAGTGGGGGAGGCAGTGAGGAGCAAAGCCTTTCCCCTTTATGGAAACAATTTTCTCTAAAAATAAACAGTTTCGCTGCCGGGCTACACAGAACTTCCTGCCCCCCCAGGATGTGTCCGGGCTGGGGGTGCAGCAGGGATAGAGGCTGGGTGAGGCCCGGCAAGTCATGGGTATACAGGGAGGAAGTAAGAGGGGTGCCCGGAGGCTGCAAAGGGAGGGACAATCAGGGCCTCTCACTAGCCCCCCTCAGCCCTGGAGGCTGGCCAGGGCCCTTTTGTCCCCCACGCCCCGCCTGAATTTGGCCAGTCCTTTCTGCTGTCTGATCTCCAGCCACCCTGCTGCAGAGACCCTGGCCCATCCCACCACCAGAGTGGACCTGTTTTGGCCTGTGGGCACCAGGGCAGCGGATACCTGGGAGGATGGGCCAGGTGTGGCACCTGCCGGGCATGAAGGCAGAGCCGGGGCTCCAGGGGTGGCTTGTCCTTGTTCTCACGTCCTGTCCTGCTTGGTGTCTTGCTTAGTCTCTCTCCACGTCTCTCTGCGTCTCTTCACGTCTCTGTCTCTCTGTGTCCCTCTCCACTTCTCTCTCCCTGTCTCTCCACGTCTCTGTCCCCACTTCTTTGACTTTCAACACCTGGAACACATGGTCACCGATTGTAGGAAATTTGTTTTCCATCTGCCTGGAGGCTCACTCCCTGAGCAACAGGACGTTGATCAAAAATATTTTCTGGGGACCTAAGAGAGACCTTGAGAAAGGGGCAGGATTGGAATAGCTTTTGGGAGGCGGAGGTGGGGGGGACAAAAAATATTAATAACTGTAGTAATAATAACAGCAACTCTTTTGTCATGACCACCCCACGAGGTGGGTAGTTATCAGACCTGTTTCACAGATGGGGAATCCAGGGGCACAGAAAGGTACAGTGATTTGCCCAGGGTCAAGGGAGGGTGGGGGCTGGGGGTGGAAGTGGCTGGGCCTGAACTTGAACCTAAGCCTGGCAGATCCCTCCACCGTCCACAAAGCCACCTCCTCCAGAATCCACACCCTCTACCTATTTCCCAGACGTGGAGACTGAGGTCTGAGGATCCCCCAGTCACCTGACCTCCCTCCATGAGAAACGACATGAGAGTGGGTGGTGGTAGTGGGGTGTCTGTGGCTGAGGCCCCTCTTGCTATGGGACCCCTGGAGTGGGGTGGGGAAGGGCAGACGGGATATGGCAGAGAGATGGAGAGATGGGGACAGGTGGGGGGTCTCTCCAAAGCCCCCTCCCCAGACTGGCCTAGACCTCTCCGGGGTCTTCCTGGCCCTCTCCCCGCCCCAAAGTTGAGGGGGAGGAGGAGCCCGCCCTGTGCAGCAGGGGGCGGGGCCTGCGGGGACCGGGCTAATGGCAAACAGCTGCGGCTCCCCAAGCCGGCCCAGCCACCAGGCCGAGGCCCAACCCGGCCGGACGCTCGGCCGCCTTCCCGCCGCCTGGGGCCTGGCTCCAGCCCGGCCGGGCCGCGGAGTAGGGCGAGGGAGGACAGAGCGGGGAGGGGACACAGAGGCAGAGAGGGGGACAGAGATAGGGGAGGGGGCAGTGGACGAGGAACACATGGAGGTGGATGGGGGAAGAAGGGAAGGGGTCAGAGATGGGGAGGGGGCACTGACGCGGGGATCGAGACACCCAGGTCCGGAAAGTTTGGGCACAGATGGTGGAGCTGCAGGCAGCGGCTGCACAGAGACCCTGAGGTCGTGCCCCGGAGTTGGAGGTGGGGTAGGGGACGATCGCACTCGAACCCCGGGCCGGCCTCGAACCCCGACCCAGTCCCGGGTCCTACTCGCCTGGCGCGCTCCGGCCGCCGCCGTCCCTGCGTCCCGCCGCCCGGGCGTCCTCCGCGCGCCGCCGCTCGGCCACAGGCCCTCGGCGGTG